CCGCCTAGGCAGGGGGTCATACTTGATGATCTGTTGAGGTCCTTTCTGACCCTAGCATCTATGAATCTACATACAGTCTGTAGTATCTTGATGATGAGGCCTATGGTGGGGAAATAACACTTCACTCTTTACCAAAAGTTTAACAATAACTATTTACAGTAAAAAAGTAACTGTGTTGCTACTGCCCTTGCAATTGTATGGGGCCTAGTCTTGTTGCTGTCCAGTCACATCAGAAGGTTCCTGCTGCCTAACCCAAACTGTCTCCTGGGATGCCAAACTTCCTGGACAATCTGTGTTTTTGGGAGGACTGTGTCATACAGTCAGCTGTAACCTTCCAAAAACAAGATGCATGTCTTGCTTGAAGGTGTGTGCTATGTGAGAAAATACAATACTTCAGGGCCATATCCAGATCTCTGCATCGTGGTTGCTTCTAGTCTCTTCTAGCTGCAAGGTTTGGAGTGAGAATGGTCCTACACATGACACGAGCTGTTTCAAGGAACATGGGGTGGGATGTTACAAGAGTTCCAGCTGCTACAGGGATCTTTCGCATCACATAGTAAATTAGCCATCCAGTCCACCAAGCACTGTACGAGCAGAGAGCCTTCTGGGTGTAGGACCTTTGTACAGTAGGTATTTCCTGTAGCTTTGCAGCTTCTAAGCTTTGCAGTATGGAAAGGTCCCACCATATCCATCTCCTCTGCACCTAAATCAGACTTAATTTGGGTCTGCACAGAGGGTAATGGCAGTCTCACAGAACTCCTGGGCCCCTGAATATGTAAACTCTAGGCGTATGCAAATAGGGAACTATTCAATTCGGGTTCGGATTCAGCCAATTCAGATGCCAGTGATTTGATTCAGAGCTCCAAATCAGTTTCCCGCTTCGATTCAGCCAAAACGGCTCCAGAGCTGATTCAGAGATTTGGCTATAGGGTATAATGGGGAATCAATGAAATATCTATAACTTTGTTATTTTTCATCCCATTTGGATAAAACTTTCAGGGGTGGTAGCCTCTGCTGAGAGCATGAAGTCTACCAAGTTTCAAGGAGATAGGTGCAGGGGTTTGGGGGAAACTGCACCCCATATTCTTGAAAGCAAAACTCATGTCACGTGTGTGTTAAGCTACAGCAGGGTCAAAACTACAGGGATGGTGACCCTTGGTGAGGCCACAAAGCCTGCCAAGTTTCAAGGTAGTAGGTGCAGGGGTTTGGGGCAAACTGCACCTCAAGCTGTGGACAAGCAAAACTCGACATGGGTGACACTTGTGTGTGTGAAGGCACAGCAGGGTGAAAGCTGCAGGGATGCTGGTCCCTGCTGTGGCCACAAAGCCTGCCAGCTGTCAAGGAGATAGGTGCAGGGGTTCTGGGGCACTGCACCTCTAGCTGCTGACAGGCAAAACTCATGACATGGGTGCTTGTGCAACTGTGTCTGTCTTGGGTCACGGTGGTTGCGGGGAGAAATGCAGACCTGGCTGCTAGGCCCTGCTGCGGCCGTGAAGTCTGCCATCTGTTAAGGAGATCGATGCAGGGGGGTTCTGGGGCCCTGCACCTCGAGCTGCTGACAGGCAAATCTTGTGACATGGGTGCTTGTACAACTGACTGTCTCGGGTCTTGGGGCAGTTGATTGTCTATATTGATACTTTCCTCTCCTTAGTGTGTGGTTTTGTAGGTGTTATTAACTCATTACATTAGCTAGCTACTGTGTATTGAGCTGGTCCCCAAGTGAATCATGACTGATTGGTAACAGTAGCTTAGCAGCCAGGCCTGCAGTAGTCTCATCCCCCCTCCCCGAGCCCCAAGACAGTTGAGCAGAGGTGCAGGGCCCCAGAACCCCTGCACCTATCTCCTTGACAGCTGGCAGGCTTCGTGGCCGCAACAGGGGCTAGCAGACCTGCAGCTTTCAGTCTGCTGTGCCTTAACACACAAAGGGTCATCTATGTCACGAGTTTTGCCTGTCAGCAGCTTGAGGTGAGTTTCCCCCAAACCCCTGATCCTATCTCCTTGAAACTTGGCAGGCTTTGTGGCCTCAGTAAGCGCTACCATTGCTGCAGTTTTCACCCCCCTGTGGCTTCTCTCACACACACACACACACACACACACACACCCACACACACACACACCCACACACACACACACACACACACACACACACACACACACACACACACACACACACACACACGAGTTTTGCTTTCAGAACTTTGGGGTGCAGTTTCCCAGAAACCCCTGAACCTATCACCTTGAAACATGGCACGCATCATGCTCTCAGCAGAGGCTGCCACCCCTGCAAGTTTCATCTGAATCAGCCAAAAGACAATAAAGTTATAGATATTTCATTGATACCCCATTATACCCTATGGCTAAATCTCCGAATCGATTCGGAAAGCCTAAAGCTTCTCGCGATTCGATTCGGATTCATAGATTCGGCCTCCAAATCATCTCCAAATCCTAATCATGATCCGAAGCTTTGCACAGCCCTAATAAACTCCTGCCTGATCTTCGCACTAGTCCTTTTGCTTCATCCCCTTCTTCCTTCAACTAAAGGTAGGGAATTTTTTGTCCTAAATCACAAAGAACACATGCAACTTCCCCTCTTGGTGCCTCCCATGTTCCTTTGCAAGAGAGCAGTATGGGAAGAGGCATAAATCCCACTCTTACTTATGGTGGGGGCACAGAGCAACACATGAATGAGGAGGGCAGGGGCTCAAGCTGAGTTGGAAGATGACAGAACATCCATTTTGTTGGGGATATGCAATGCAGGCACAAATATAAGTGGTATCTTGGTTAAAAAAATGTACATCAGGTTCCATGATAGAATAATTCTACAGAGGCCTAGCTAGAGAATTACAGTGTTGGGAATACTTTTCTCTATAGTCAGGTTCAGGCTGATTTATCCCTAGAGTCTCAAGTTGCGACTTAAGTAGTAGACATATCATGGGATCAGCAGTACATAAATGACTGTTTCATGTACCAGGAACAATTGAGGTGGCCATTTATTTAACTAGAGGAGTGGATTCTTCTGTGTAAGAGGCAGAGCCATCTCTACAGGCATATTGTATTATTCACCTTCAGAAGGCCTACCCAGGATTAAAGGACTCTTATTTTATTGAATGTGAAGCTTCAGAGGGAGCTTACCACTGATAAGAATCCTTATGAGTCCTGTCTAGTTACGATAGGATGCATGTAGG